TAACTAATGGTTGAAGACAAAAACTTTGCTCATTCATAATTACCCCTTGAGAATTTTTTTCCTCAAACAAACCCTTTAAAACAGATGGCAACCAAGAAATGGTTGGAGCTCATGGTCAGGTAACAACAGCTGTGTCCATTCATTATTACATCGATCCCCTGAGCTACTTTTTAAAAACAAAACTTCTAAAATGGATGGAACCAAGGAAAAGTTGGAGCTATTGGTTAGCCACATGTAGGAGCACACACATGTTCAGTATGAACACAGCCAGGGTTTGGTCTGCCCGCAGCCAAGTACAACAATCGAGATGGAAATGGGTCTTTTTGGAGGCAGACATCCACAGCCTCTATCAGTATATGCTGTCCTTGCAAAATGGGCGCTGTTTCTGCTAGATCACAGACCAGATCAGTCCCTGATATTCTGGAAATGGCCATGCATCGGAAATGCATGGATGCATATTTGAGTTTGTACAATTAGGATTCTTCTGTCTTTTCATGACCAGATCTTGTTTTGAGTTTGCTAGGGGTAACGTTGCCCATACATGTACATAGCCGTGTAGAAAAGTCATCTTTCCATAGTGTTAGTGTAATACGATGGAACAATTATTTTGGAGTTCACACGAACCATGCATCTTTATCCATTTATGTTGTACACACCTACATTCAAAATACACTCCAAGACCCAGTTTTTCCTTGCGATGTGCATCGACCACTGCTGTGAATTCTGTACAACATTGGATTTTTCACTAAAAATTTGCGTCAGTAAAACCATCAGTTTTGGTCGAGTGAAAACAACCACTGTCAGAGTCTCTGCCAGCAATTTCTTAAACTTCACTTCTCAGCACACTGTGAATACGAGTGTAGCATGTGCATACTGAACTACAGAGCATATGGCAAAAGTGTGTATGTAACAATGTGTACTCTGTGAAGGTGAAGGTACTCTGTAGGTACATGTACTTTGGGCTTTTTTTTTTATTGATATGACAAACCATATCAAAGATCAAAATGTCAACTTTGATCATGTGCCTCCAGTGAATTACATGTACATGTATAGTGTGTAAGGTACCAGACACGCAGGGGCCAATTTCATAGAGCTGCTTAAGCACAACATTTGCTTAATCGTAAAAAAACCTTACTTGATAAATAAGGTTACCAGCCAAAATTCCATGTGATATATATTGTTTTGGAATGGTATTCACCTGTCTTTTGGTTAGCATGACATTCACATAGATTTTGAGCTGGTAGCCTTTGGGTTTTTGAAGGCAAGGTTTTTTGCCCTTGAGCAAATTTTGTGCTTAAGCAGCTCTATGAAATTGGCCCCAGCTGCATGTGAACTGATTCAACTTCAGCAGTTTCAAAGACTGGAGGAAGCACAGGTGCTCCTCTGGAGGACGCACAGGTGCTCCTCTGGAGGACGCACAGGTGCTCCTCTGGAGGACGCACAGGTGCTCCTCTGGAGGACGCACAGGTGCTCCTCTGGAGGACGCACAGGTGCTCCTCTGGAGGAAGCACAGGTGCTCCTCTGGAGGACGCACAGGTGCTCCTCTGGAGGACGCACAGGTGCTCCTCCAATCACTAGCAAAGTTACAGTCTCTTGCCTAACTGCATACACACATGTCCCCAATGTGAAAACCAGGTGACTTTCGGGTGACAGCACAACTAGGTAGCAATTGAAAGTTTGCATGGTGGATCCACAATGAGGTAGAGGGTTTAGCGGAGACACCGTGTGGATGATCTCTTTTTTGAGTACATGTATTTTCAAAAGAACCAGTACTCCATGTTTCAGAAGGGAATCCAGCAGTCTCTTGACAACGGACAGAGCACCCACTGTCCAAAACTTAGTTCTTTTTCAGTACCACACATACTCACAAAAGAGATCGTCCGCATGTTGTCTCCACAAACCCCCTTACAAGTTGTACAACTTTAGTTATATCGTCTAAATATCAACAGAGTAGTTTTTATGTACGATATCTTACAGAAATTCACTTGTACTGTACATAATTCAGTTCCTAGTACATGTATTTGTATCATCAACTTTGCTTTTCTGTCATCTTTCTTGTTCTCTTGCCGTTGAGAAACTGTAGATCATGTACAATGTTCACAGGTAGCAGAAACATGAAATGGACTTTTAGCATTAAAACGACATATCTACGGAGAGCAGTTCTTGATTTCAGTTTCCAAAGGGGCAGTTTTTTAAGCATTGTTACCTTCTATCTGTACGCTTCATTTCAGCTCATTTCAGTCACTGAAATAAATTTTGCTCTTTGACTCAAAACACACGAAGCGTTGTGTACCCGTCCACCCTGTTCACACCGAGACCATTTCACTTTCCATTCAATATGATTTTTTATTACATCCTACGGATCAGGGTGAAAAATTAATCATCAGTGAAGTTTGCAAGTTCTTGGACAATGGACAAAGGCAGGGATGTTTAAACAGTAAATTAAACTTTTGCTGGACATTTATCACATTAAACATAAATTCCCACCCCTACCGGTACAAATGACCTAGAATATAGGAACTGATCTCTACCCCTACATAATCCAGCTAGGCTATGCACTCCAATCTTTGGGGCACTGTTGCAATTAACATGATTAAGGCAGCCGCAAGTGTCATCGGGAGTTGCTCCAGGAGGAGGCACTGTTCTTTGGTTCCAGTGTTGTAGTCGAGACCACTTAGGACCTTCACAAGACTACCAGCACAAGACCTCCAGTCTGAATTGAAGTCACAAGCTACATGTATTCCAATGGACTGCAACAAAAGCATTCCTTTGTCATCGTTCACCCTGTTACTTGTGACTGGTCTGGTGTCTGGTCTTGTGTCTGGTATTGTGATGGTCTCGACTGCAACACTGTTTAGTTCGTGGTAGAGAGGTGAATGTACTGATACAGGCAATCATCATCAATCATTTATCATTATCCCTGCACACTGGGCTCATGACATCTAAACATTCCTGAAACCACCTCAGCTCCTGGAGGAGTGCGTACAGTACTTACTAGCCTGATGCTGCCTTATAACGTGCAATAAGCCTTTTGCGAGTTAACTTTGACCCAAATCTGGTACACTGAGTTCTTTAAATTCACGTGAACATAACTTGAATTCTTTTTACTAAAACCACTGTTGCTATACCTCGTGATTCGACGCAAGCTTTTGCTTAGTTACATAAGAGATGCCTTGCAACAATACACTGTTCTCAATGGATAAGGAGGGCATAAAGGAACCAGTCCATTCTAGAGTTGGTGGTCGCTATGCAAAAGCTTGCCCCGAATCATGAGGTATAGCAACAGTTTCTTTAGTCTGGGGAATTCAAATTGTTATGTTTATGTGCAGTCAGATAACAGTCCACCAGATTTTATTTAATTTAACTCGCAAATGGCTTATTGGCTACTCCTGGGTGGAGAGAGACACGTACATGTAGAGGTGAAGTGACTTGCTTAAGATCAGAACATGCTGCCGCCATCTGGATTCAAACCCCCGACCCCATGCTCAGTAGCTACAAATTCCAACTACTCGGCCACCTGCCCAGGTACTTAGCAGTAGCAGGCAGAAAATCATCAACAAAGGAACTTTTAAGAAGACGGGCAATTGATGTTTCCCGGTTTCTGTTCCCTACTTTTTCCTTTTCCCCTCTTTTTTTTCAGGTTTTTTATTCTGGGCGATCCCCGGGCAGAGATTTGCATAAAAAAGCACAAACTTCCAATCAGCCTTTTGCAAGTCCACAATTTGAATTCTCCAGACTGAAGACTGTTGCTATACCTCGTGATTCGGGGCAAGATTTGCTTAAGTTGCATAAGAGACGCCTTGCAACAATGCACTGTTCTCACTGGATAAGAAGGGCACAAAGGAACCAGTCCATTCCAGAGATGGTGGTCGCCATGCAAAAACCTGCCCTGAATCACGAGGTATAGCAACAGTGCCTTTTATCCGGGGAATTCAAATTTTATGTTTATGTGCAATCAGAAATTGAACTCAGTGTACCGGTACCAGATTTTATTCAAATTTCACTTGCAAAAGGCTTATTCTCAGGCCACGACCCTGTATGTACTGGTACAGTAGCTCCACTGAATGGTGTGACTGTTGGATCCCCTGCTGGTTGGCAGGCTGGGGCAGGTGTTTACTTCACACCAATCCAAGGCTCAATCAGTGATTCATCATTGGTTCACTGGCAACAGAATCCACTTAATTTAATAGATGGAGCGAGCCAACATTGGGTAAATTATTGTGAAACATTCACGCCCTTTGACTCGGGGGCAGTTCGGCCTTGGGGATGGTCGACTTGAGGGCCTCTTACTTTGAATGCAAAAACAGGTGGGTGCCAACTTGTACCCGAGGGAGAGAGTAACACATGTGGGCTGATACACATGTAACTGATTGAAATGATTGAATGTACATTTACATATATATTCACAAGCAAAACATCCTTTTTTTCATGAAACTATTTCACAGAATCATGCAAAGCTTCAAATCAACATATATTGGAAACAGCTTGTTTTTTGTCCCTGTTGCACTCCATAGCCATTTAAGCGAGTGCACCCTGTATGTCAAACGGTTACTTATTCAACGTTCGAATATGGAACAGTTACTTGTTCAACGTTGAATGTCGAACGTCAAACGAGGAACTAACTTCACATCGGTTAGAATCAGTCTGGTTGCAACTCACGCCATGGCCGTGTCCGAAAAAGGGCTTCCAGAGCTACGGCTAGGTCAATTGTCTACGCGTCTCCACGCATTCACAATGGATTGAAGACCTAGACCCAGCTCTAGGCAACAGATTCGGATGCTGCCCATGCCAATCGTTCGACACCTAAACAGCTAGACCAGCCGGCTGGGTAATGGTGCGACAATAGCGCTGTTTTATATAATCATGGGTTGTAGCTCTATGATATAATAGTGTATTGTGCATAATTCGGATTGTACCTGTTCGCTCGATCCTCCTGCACGTGAACAGCGCCCTCTAGCTCGTGGACAACCCCCCCCCAAAAAGCGTACATCCGGGCATTATGATCTACCCTCTTAAGGAATTAAGGGACCAGTCCACGGACGTATATAAAAAAAACCTGGACTTGCAACGCCTTTGTATGAAAAAGAAGCCAACCAGCGGCCATTTTACCGAGCCGAATACAAAGGCGTGGGTTGGCTCCCTACTATTGACGTCAGGAAGAACAAAGGCGGGCATTACCAGAAAAGCTTTGTATTCGGCTCGGTAAAATGGCTGCGAGTGGATTCAATGGCTCTATAATCTGATTAAGGGCATTGCGAGTCCAGATTTTATTAAACACGTCCGTGGACCAGTCCACTAATTCAAGCCCCATTGAAAACAGTGTAAAATCAGCACCGTTCAGGGCCCAATAGCATGCACGCCAACATCCCTGNATTATTCCCACAAAACAAAATCACCCCCCCCCCAAAAAGTGATTTTTCCGAAGTCTGATTGCAGCCATTTTTCAACTGGCAACCCTAAACTTTCTGGGCATTTAGGACCATTATTCAACCGTAGTTTTTAGCCCTTCTGCTCTCATATGAAAGCTCAAAGACCCAGGGAGTTGATCCCGGCAACGATTTACACAATCTCATCATTTTGAGGGGGGGGGGGCAAACAATCTCCTTTTTCTAAAGATACTGCGGGGGGCACTTTTAATGCTAATGAGCTGGCCAGGAACTCTCACTTTAATTAGTGGTTTGCACCCGTAGGCCTATACACGTACTGTAAATGCACAGCTTCGCTGCTTTATGCGCTTGCAGTGACTTAGGATATCTAAGGATCCCAGGGATTTTGAATTTGGGATTTTCCTGTAAACAGAAGGAAGACCTATGTTTCAACTTTTGGCTTCCCTTAGGTAGATGACTATGGCATCATGTTCAATAACTGTAGAATTTTTGTGAAAAGAGGGTATTGTTTTGAGTTTTGTGGGCGGAAACTGTGAGTGCTTCAACACATGACACATGGTGGAGTCAAATTTGTATGGCTGGTCCATCAGTTTTTTCACAACTAATAATTTGACATTTCAATAAAGAGGGGGTCTGCGAGGTTCAGTCAGCATTACCGTTGGTTTGGGAGGAAAATGACGAGCTTTTCACAGATTAATACAGCTTTTCCAAATGTACCTTTGTGTCTCAAGTGTTCTAATTTCGACTTTTGTTTTGCTATCTCCAAATTGTCTTTTGGTTTTCACGCCAATGAATATTTCTATATTGAATTGACTGCCAAAATAATTATGTAACCTTGAAGTGTTACACAGCGCGACTTAATCTCCGACAGATATCAATCAACTCTTTTAAACATTATTGTTGGTGCCTGCTATTCACCTTAAGCTCAATGGCCAAGATGGATAGCTACAGTGTGCATGTTGGCGATGTTGAAAAGAAGCAACATACCATTGTGTATATACCCCCCCCCAAAAGAAATCTTTGACCGACTGTCACGATCGTGCTGGGCCTATGATATGTTGTGATGGTAATGAATGCATACCTACTCAAGATAAACAAGTCAAGCATGCAGCGTGGTTGGAGCTGCCGGTTGGAATACATGTATATGCGATCACCGTGGTCAAGGCGGTCCACACGTGGTGGTATTGTTTACATTAACGTGGGTGAAAAGGGTCTATAGAGGTGCTGCATGGCAGCCACCTTTCAGATAATTGCCTTTGTCGCGGAGGGATAGTACAAAATGTCTACTCATGTGTATCCCTGTGGAACGAAAGCTCTTACCGAAAAATGGCCGCCATGTAGGACCTCTTATATAAAATATAGAGTAACCGGACAAGCTAGTCTATTGATCACACTGTAGGTGGATACCTTTTGAAAAGATCTCTTACGTAATAACAGAATGAGAAACTGATTGAAGCACGTCACCAAGGCTCCTTTGTTCAGCGTACATGTTGGACTGATCGAGCCTTTTCGTTGGTTCTATGTGTCCTTGATGACTGGAGTGGATCTGGCCTAGGCCTATAACCCAGTTCGACGTTTCATCACAGAAAAATACTTCAAGAAGTGTGACGACTGGAAACATATACCGAGGATGCCACGTACTATGTAACTGTGCCATCTCGGTGAAGTGAGGCCAATTGATTTCCTTGGTTCGCTGCCATGCTTTATTAGTCAAACTCCATTTGAATGCGCGTGTACACTGTGATATCGAAGTTACAGAACATGAAGGGGCGACTGGGGCGTGCATTCGTGGCTCTCTTGGCGGTGTCTTTTCTGATCTTTCTGGTTGGAAGTGGTCTGCTTGATCTGAACGTGGTCACAGGGCCCGTCTATGGCAGAATTTACGAAGG